TTTGAGCTCTTCTGATAAAAAAAGTCGTACCTCGATCGGAATGTACGTATAATAGAAATCCGAAAGTGTGAAAAAGATCTTTCAAACATCGTATCACTGTAGCCGCCGATAAATCACAGCAGGGATACGCAAACGGAAACCTCGAGTATTCGTCTATAATTGTCAGTAGGTATCGGTTTTGAGTATTCGATGGGAGTGGGCTTTTAAAATCGATATTTATTCTCTCGAATGGAGCAATAGCTTTTATCAACTGGCCTTTTGATTGACAGAACCGTGGTTTTATCTCAGCACATACTTTACAAGATGCTGTCATTAATCTTATTTCTTCAACAGAATATGGAAGATTCTTTGATCCAGTGTACCATTCTGGTAACACCTGGATGACACAGCTGGTCATGTAGTTCATACAGCTTATTCGGATTCATGAGAGCGCATACTCTTGATAATGCATCAGCTACAGTATTTTGTCGACCTGGACGATAAATTATGTCGTATTTGTAGCAAGATAGTTCTATGCGCCACCGTTCAAATTTTTCATTTTTTATTTTGCTTGAATGTTTTTGATTGAACATAAAAGCAACAGACTGCTGATCGGTTATCAAAATAAAATTTCTTCCAATAAGATAGTGGCGCCATTTACGAAGTGCTTCCACAATTGCGCTTGCTTGTTTTTCTATAGATGAATGGCCGCGTTCAGTGTTGGACGAAGTTCTTGAAAGGAAAGCTACAGGGCGACCATTTTAAGAAAGGGTTGTAGCTATTGAGTGCTCGGATGCATCGGTTTCTACTGTAAAAGTTTCGTCATTGTCTATAGCTGTCAGGGACGCTTTGGCTATTTCCAATTTAAAAATTTTAAAACATTTTATGGCTTCTTGGCTAAGTGGGAATCGTGTGTTATCAATCAAAGGCTTAATAAGGTATGAAAAGTTGTAAATCCATTTCGAATAGTGAGCTAACATACCCAAAGTACGTCTTAATAAGGCTGCATATGTTGGAGTAGGGAGATCCAATAGTGGTTTTAATCGTTCTTTGTCTGGCTTGATAACGTTGTTCTCAATGTAATATCCTAATAGACTTATACTTTTTGATCCAAAAGTGCATTTCTTCTCATTTAACGTAAGTTTGTATTTCTTCACAGCATTCATAAATTGCTGCAAGTTTTTATCGTGTTCGTCTCTATTTTTGCCACATACAGTCACGTCATCTAAATAACAGAAGGTGCTTCTTAGATTTTCAGCCTCAATTATGAACTGTAGCGTTCTCTGAAACGCAGCCACGCCGTTAGTGACTCCAAATGGTATACGAGTAAATTGATATAGGGCCCAAAAAACATGCTTCAAATGCTGTATATTTTCGTTCAGTCTCTAAAATCGGCACTTGGTAATAAGCGCTTTTTAAATCAATTTGGCTGAAATAGTTGTATTGTGCAACGTTGAAAACCATAGATTCAATGTTAGGTAGTGGATACGAATCGAGTACAGTGAATCTATTAATTGTTAAGGAATAATCAATGACAAGACGTTTTCGATGTGTAGTGCCTATGTCCATACTCCATCCTTCAATAATTTAGAAACTTCTACTCTAATAAATTCTTCATCAATTTTTATATAACGCCTTGACTTTATTGCAATTGGCTTTATGTTTGGAGAAAGGTTCGTAAACAACGATACAGGAGGTTCTAACGCTTCCATAACACATATTTTTAAGGAAGCCCTTGAACCCCCAAAGTTGAATTCTAATGTCTTGTGGCTTTTCAGTAAATCATGCCCTAGGATAACATCTGCACATAAGTTATTGACAATTAGTAAAGGTTGATTTGAATATGTATGCCTGTCTAAATTTATCGTTGCATATGTAATGCCTTCTACAAAAGAAATATGACTAAGGGAAGCCAAAGATATAGCCTGCTTATGAGGTCTCATCTTTAAGTTAATATTTTGGGCTAATTTCTTATTTATAAAACTGACAGAACTTCCTGTGTCAATCAGAGCTTCAGCGTGGAATTCATTAATCATAATAGGCACTGTCGCTTTGCTTAAGCTAGATGGAGATGCAGCAGATATACATTTGGTTTTAATAACATCCGCAACTTCACTGTCTACAGCATTTACAGTTGGTCTACCACTTTTGCAAACAGTAGCGAAGTGCCCTTTCTTTGAACATAATTGACATATTGCGTTAAAAGCAGGGCATTTTATGCGTTGATGTAGACTTTTATTACCACAAAAAAAACATCGCTTACGTTGACTTGCTGCAATGGCTATGCTGTAATTCTGCGTGCTACTTTCTGGTTTTTCATTGTAAGTATCAGTTACAGTATTTAATTGCATTTGATGATTATTGCAGTTTGTATAAGTTAAAGAATTTTTCTCAGCAGTTTCTAAAGATGTAGCTTGATTTTAGGCTTCCTCCAATGTCAAAGTTATGTTTTCTAAAAGCCTTTGTCGTATATTTTGACTTGTGATACCCGATATGAAGGCATCACGAATATAGTCATTCTTATTTTGCTCCGCCATTACGTTTTTGAAATTACAGTCGTATGCTAATTGCCTGAGAGCTTCGAATATATTCAGTAATAGACTCCTCGGGCTTTTGTTTTCTGGTTGCTAGAGTATATCGTGCATGTATTTCATTTTTAGCCTTTATATAAATGCTATCAAGCAATTGAATGGCAGTCACATAAGAAGAACAGTCACGTATTAGTGATTAGACTGTCGGCGACAAATGGTTGATGAGCAATTTTAACTCAGATCAAATCAGATTTCTGATTCAACTAGAATCAGAAATCTGATTTGATTGTTTGTGGCATAAAAAATTTGAAAATGTATACCGCCAGTTTCTCCATTTTAGGTCTGCTGCCGGTGTATCAGGTTCGACGTCAAACCGGTCTGGTCGAAGAAATCGCGACATCGTGTTTATTTCCGAAGAAGAACAGCTTGCATCGTTTATCGACATTTTAAAACAATTATGTTGAATAAATTGATAAAGAATGTCGGAATGTCGGATAAGACTCGCTCTTCGATCGTTACTCACACTCGCGTGTGGCTCTAACGACGACGTGTACAGCTGCCCATAGAACCTCTCAATCTCACTCAAAATCTCAGGTGCCCCGGAAACGATGCTGCCACATTCGGTCTTCAGCTTTGACAGTTGGCTCTTTCTGGCAGACAGATCTCTGGCAAAGACTTTGGAGCCTTGGTTCCGCTCGATCGCTTCTTCAATACGACCTGTATTGAAGTTGCGTAAGTCCCGCCGCATGCACTTGGAGATCTGTCTGTTCAGTTGCCTGTATGCTGTCAAATCTGTTGAAGAATGTAGCTTCATCTCCCGTCTAACAGCCATGAGATTAAGAGTGTGATCGGAGAGTTTTTGTGTTCTTCTGCGGTGGGTCTTGTAGAACTTAGCTCCGACCGCATGGACAGTTTCCACGAGCTTGTCATTTAAATCGTCCACTTCATTGCAGTCTTCTAGGCACTGAAAACGGTTTTGTAACACGAGCTGAAAGGTTTCGGGACTTTGGAACAGAGCACGAGGGGGACGGAGCTTTGACTTCATTAGACGAGACGTTTAGGTTCAGTGTGCTTCTAACCATTCGATGATCGCTGCCGGTTTTCACCCACGCGATCACTGAGACATCACTGAACAGTTGTCATCTGGTCGTCATAATGAACTCAATCTCATTTTTTGTCGAACCGTCGGGGCTCGACCAGGTTCACTTCCTGTGGGGCCGCTTCTGGAAGAAAGAGTTCATCATAAAGAGTCCCTATTTCTCTATGAAGTCGGCCAGCTGCTGGCCCCTTGGGTTCCGTTGCCCTATTCCAAATTTCCCTACTTTCAGCTCACCTTTCTCTCTCTTGTGCCTAGTTTTGTATTGAAGTCTTCCATTAACACCGTATATTGGGTTTTGGAGGAATGCATGGCTCTAGAGATATCTTCATATATTTCCTCCACCTCCTCATCGGGGTGTACCGAGGTTGGTGCGTAAACCTGTATGACCTTCAGCGTATACCGTTTGGTGATTTTGAGTATAAGGTACGCAACCCTCGTCGACACACTCTCAATCTTTACAACGTTGTTAACGAGAGACTTGTGGACGATAAATCCGACACCTCCTTGGGACAGATGGTTGCCCTCCCGGTAATAGAGCAAGTTACCGGATTCGAGGATTACCGTTTCCTCCCCCTCTCTTCGGACTTCGGATAATCCTATAATATGCCAGCGTAACTTGTTTATCTCTTCTTCCATCTCCACAATCTTCTCGTCAGTCCTCAGGGTGCGTGCGTTGTATGTTGCCAGGTCGAGTCGTCGTAGGTGGCAACCGAACCTCTACCGGAGATTCTTAGCACACCCTGCCCCGCCGTTACCATGGTCGCCACCGTAGCCAGGAATAGTGGGGCTGCCGGGGACTGGGGGCCGTCTCTTAGTAACTTTATCCATAGTTACCACGCTTGGCGAGCGGGTTGGCAACCGCAGTTTTTTTATTGTATTTTTGCTGTTATCAGGAAGATGCTGCTGCCCATCTCCTGCCTGTTTACCTTTGTCGTCTTTTACGACACCCACGGGAAGATATGGGGTAGTGGATATTCTTAACCGCCACTATACGGCAAATACTTCTTTCTTATCACTTGATACTGAGCTATTTTTTTAACTGGCTTCACGGCTCTGGGTTCTAGCCCTTCTGAGCTTTGATACTGAGCTACATGAATACATGGCCAAAGAGTATAAAATCACTACGTTAAGACCCGGCTTAAAGAACAAGCAGCCCAGCCAAAAAACTTAATTAATAAAAGGATTTTCTTTACAAAGACAAACCATAGATAGATAAATATGTAGCAAGAGACAAACAAATAAGATCGTAGATAAATATATATGTAGCAAGAATAAGATCACAAATTATAAAGTTGATTCCTATATATATAAAAGTACTCTGTGATTGTATGTAAGATTTTTAGGTGTTCTTCTTATTATTATATTCTATATTTCTTTCATCTGTTTTCGGAATGTCTACTTCCAAAGTAGTGAAATATGTAGGGAGAACTACAGACTTCAAAGGCAAAACATTATGGGAAATTGTGGGATGTCTAAAAAATTTTGGAGTTGGTAGAATTATAGTTCGATCTGTATTTGAACGGTACCCTGAGCCAAGTTTTATGAAGATAGTAAAAGTAGAAACTTGCCCTGATGAGGTGAGCCTAATGTTAATAAAATTTGTTTATCTACTTAAAGTTTCGTTAGCCGTTGATTGTTCATTAGCTGCCGTACCAGCCGTATGCAGACAAATCACCAAATTTTGTAAAACTATAGACATCCGGTACTTTCGTACGGGGGTGGTTGCGGAAAAGTATAATTTATGAGTATACTCTTCCGCAAGGCGCACAAAAATATTTTTATATAATCATAACCTCACTTATTTATACAGGAATATTGACCCAAAGTTACATCTGCACCGCTTCGGCGTTTCGGGAAATGCAGCTCGTTCGGCGTTGCGTAGCAAATAGTAGGCACCTGTATAAACCGTAGCGGCTGAGGCTGGTTGCCGAACACTACCAATAAGCCTAAGCGGCACTCGCAAAAATATTACACAAAGACAAAACAAGATATTTATTACATGAGGCATACATACAGTCTCATATATAAGTCACTGATTATTAGTGTGATCCTTGGCCTTGCATTTTTTTCAACAAATTGATGAATTCTGGCTCATAACTTGAAGTACGAGTCGTCATACAATAGTCCAAATTTACAGTTGTCATTCTGCTTCTATAGAGATATTTTGATTTTAAGTGCTTCGTTGTTGAAAATATGGATTTGCATAAGTACGTTAATGCACTATATGCATGTATTTTAAGAGATAATACCCTTCAAATTAGATATTTATTTTCATCAACAATATTCCAAAAGTTTTCGTCCTATATGTATGAAGTCATTCTTCATGGTTATTATTTCCAGCTCTAATTCTTCATAATTTTCTATGCCAAAATAGTTTTTGATCTTTTCTCAAACATCACCTTCTTTAAATGGGTTCATTATGAACTCCAAGATCAAGGTTTAAGATTCTTAAAGTGTATCTATTTGTTTTCTTTCAATTTGGGAAGTTTGAATTTGAATTTCTCAGTAAATGAGATTTCCATAGATACACTTTGAATGTATCCACAGATCCAACCATTTTTGCAACATGATGATAGTTTGCAAGCTTTATTATGAAGTGCCGTTACAAAGGGCTTGCCAAAAGTTGTATAATAGCATTGGTAGATTGAAAGCTGAGTTATGTATTCACCATTGATGTTCATACTTTATCCAATCCAGATTAATAGCTTGAAAATGTTTCAATACAACAGTGAAGAGTTTCGGGGAAATCAACTGAAAATTATAACTAAAATTTCAACTTGAAAATATTACAGGAAAGGCGTCGTGTACGTGTGTGGGTCGAAAAAACTTTCAGAGGAAGGAAACTTGATAAGCTGACAGAAATCTATCGTACCTCATACAAGCCTGACTACAAGCTTATACCAAAACATGAAGAGGCTAAATTGTTTGCAGCAGTGAAAGAAGAACACTATTTCCCAGATGTTATTTTACCTAGAACCATTGAAATGCCACCTTTAATGAAGAAATTTATTGTTAAAGACCATGAAAAGAAAGGAATGGAGGTATTTAATACTTTTAGTTTTAAATATACAGTGTAAACACTATATAGCGAAATTGAAGGGACTGTACATTTTATTCCATTATAAAGAGTTCGTTAAATGGAGAGTATAAAAAAACAATATAATTTTATGAATAAGTGGTTTTAATTTTGACTAAATTAAGTAAAAAAAAAATTACATAACAAATTTATAATCAGTTATTTTTGTTTGTCGTTATTTATGCCAGTATTTTAATTATATCTTTTATTTTATTTTATGGGTATCTTAGGATATAGTGGATTCATCTTCATTGAATAAAAATAATTTTTCCAATAATTTTGTGGTATGCTAAGGTTGTTCTAAGTCGTTTTCTTCATCGCCTTGTTCCGCCTTATTTTTCTTCACCAAATCAAGAATTTCTTCATCAGTGAGTGGAACTGCTGTTGCAAATTCTAGTCTACTTGTATGAAAGTTTCTAAATTTTCAGTAAAATCTTGTGGCATGTGGAACTGTTTAGTCCAATCAATTAATTGAAGGTCATCTTCACTTTGAAACACAGGTTCATCACCTTCAGAACTGGTACAAAGTACTGCATGGTGATAAGGGTGTAGTATGGCCGTTGCTGTCACCTCTTCACAGGCTTTGAATAAGAAGTTAACTGCATGCAGCTTATAGCTTTTCCAATATACGCAGAATGAACTTACTATATCTTGGAAGTCTGCAGTTTGTGATCATATCCTAGACGGCCCCCGCCATTAAATTAGATTTGATAAACGACAAATTCTCGCAAAAGAACATTGATTCCTGCCAAGGATGATACTTGAGGATATTGAAATTAAAAAACATCCTAATTTCAATAGAGAGGGAGGCTGGGTACTACCACCTGCCTCGGATGTTGTAATTAATAAAATTAAAACTAAACCCAAGCATACCACTGCAAGACTTCAAGACACAGTAAGTTCATTCTGCGTAGATTGGACCAAAATTTATAATTAAAAAAGCTGAAGGTACTCCAGGTTAACTCTGACAACAGTGACCATGGGTGTTGTAAAGCACCCGAAACGTCGGGAATTAATAAAATTAAGTAAATTGAACGCGATGAAATTTGTAAAATTAGTTTTACAACAATAGTAGAAAGTAAAGTAAGCAAACACGTGCTAGGTAATTACAACAAACAAATGAAGACATTTCTAAGAATGCCATTGTACGTACGAAATATTTAGGACTCTCGTACATACATATCAGTATTGTGTTAGGTCAATCGAATTATTGTTTATTGGGGTTTAAATAATGATAATTTTTTCCTTATTGAGAATGGTTGCTATGCTATAAAGTGTTTCAATATAAAGGTAACAATGTAAACCAAACAAACCTTAGCAATTTGTACGTTTTAAGGAGTTTTTCGTTAAATAGAAGTTTTCATATCAGTTATAGAGTTTACACTGTATTTACTAAATACTTCATCATCAATAAATACAACCCCTTAAAGTCTTTTCCTGGAACATAGTCATCCACCAAGAAATGAATGTTCCAAAGCCACTGCATCCATCACGTTCCTGCATAACTTACCAGGTGGTAACTGAATATAGTGGCTGTGTGACTTGTACGAGGCTGCAACTCAAGAACCTTTCTTGCTCATCAGCTGTTGGTTCTTTGAGTTATATGGCGAGTTTATGTGAATAAGGCCTTATTGATTATATTATTGCCATACTGACAGTCGCATTATTTGACGCTGCTTTCCATCGCTTCTGAGATTATTTTACGTCTGGCGTAAACATGCGTGGTTATACTGCTATCTATCGAAGTCTTAGATTTTTCTGGCAATTCCCATAGTCGCCTTGTACTACACCCATGGGATGAAATGGGGTGCTGTATTCTCTGACACTACCATCACATGGTAGAACAAATCCTTGCTGAAAACTTTTGATAGTTATCATGAATACTGCAATATTTAAACTTAGAAACAACATTTTGGCATTTTTATTTTTAAATATTATAATTGCTACTGTTTTTTTTTACAGATATTGAATGAGTATATTATGCCCCTTAGTTATAACCACAGTCCTAACAGAGTGCAAAGGATTGCAAAAGAAGGTGAAAAGCCGACTATTCAGTTCACCATGGGTCTTGGAAAACCTGCAAGTCCTGCCTTGTATGAAGGTGTTCCTCTAAATTAAATATGTTTTAAATTTAGAATAGTGGCAAATAATAGATACTATTTATATCGTAGTACTGTTTTATTTAAATGCATTTAACTTCGTTAACATTAATGCTTCTGAGAATGATGTGAAGATGCAAATTTCTTCGACAATAGTGGATTGACTTTTATTTCTGGAACGCTCCGTTCGAATTCCAATTTCTGAAATTTATTCATGGGATAAAGACATTTTCACATATAGAAAATCGGAAAGTGGAATATGCTGATGATGAGCTTATTGAGTCTTGTATTATAGGTATTGTGATTATTGCGATTCTGAGATTAAACCCAGGATCGTATTATAATGTAACTATACGACAACTATGTTAAACTTCAGAAAGATCTAATGATGTAACGGTGTATTTTTCTCTCATTCATCTCGTATATTATTATGTAATAGTTATTATGTATAGATGTAAAATACCTAGAACAGTGATGGAGAATAATATCAAAGGTGTGAGATATTTGGTACTGTGTTCATTAATCTGCTTCCAAAGCATGGAGATTACAGTAGATCCTCCCTGCAACGGGGGAGACCCGTGTTAAGCAATGGACTGTTACACGTTGGTAAAGTAGACAATGTCACTGGTATTAATCATTGTAGTATGTATGACTCATTAAATTATGTGGGTGTGAAATATTGCTGGAATTTGTTATGCTGAACATGTTAATAACAATAAATAAGGTTTTAGCTCCAAATGGTCGGCTTGACTAGGGACAACACTCCCACACAATACCAGTGTAAAATAGCAGCTTACTGTTGCTGTGTTTAGTATGGTGAGTATAGAAAACTGGAGACCCTGTTTACGGGAAATGAGGCATTCCATCTTAGTTCTCAGGTCACCCTGTATGTGGATTCTTAATTAAGGACAAATGTAGACAAATGTCTGTATGGCACAGAATCTACTCACTATCAGGTGCACTGTATACCCATTTGTCAACCTTATTTAATAATAAAACATTATAAGTATCTATTGAGAATGCTACAAAATACCATTATATTAAATTAAAAAAAATAATCAAGAACTTCTTTATATTGCATTTTTTTTCTCGCATTGTGCACCTTATCTGTACGTCGTGCATTCTGCTAATTTACGAACAAAATTGCGGCAGCCAACAACTGTTGGCGGAAAATATGTCTGGTATAAGTGGGTTAGATTTCACTTGCCAACCCACCTGCCCAACGTCCACCACACATACAAGGAGTAAATATTTGCATAAAGCATTTGGGGCAATTTTAAAAAAGATTTGCACATTTTATGGTTGATGATATTTTCATAAAGAAAAATATTGTAAGGTACGTGAGGATAATATGGTCACCTTAAGCTTTGCCGCCCTATAAAACCAAAACTAGGAGGAGGACAGACACAAATACACAATGTCGTATACTATAACTAATATAGAAAAAAATAACAAACAAGCCTTGGCCAAAATTAGCAAACACTTCGAAAAATCAACTTAAAAAAACTAACTATAGTACGTGAGGGTAATATGGTCATCCGATTAATATGGTCACTTACTTATAACTCAAAAACTACAGCGTCTTTTGCATAGAACGCTCTGTGATACGATAGCTCTTGATCAATCTATCAAATAATAAAGGGTCAAAAAGGCGCTGCTTTATCGACGCCATTTTGACAGTTTAGTCGATTTTTGTATTGTGTAGTGTAGTTAGTTTTTTTAAGTAGATTTTTCGAAATGTTCCTAATTATTTCCAAAGCATGTTTGCTATTTTTTTTTCTTAATATTCTAGTTATAGTATACGACTTTGTGTTTTTGTCTCTGTTCTCCTCCTACTTTTGGTTTTATAGGGCGATAAAGCATAAGGTGACTATATTACCCTCACGTACTATAATATATCATGTTACCTGCCCGAAAAATGCATTGGCGATCGTAGTAGCCTGGGACTTTAAGTATGACATCTTTTGGGATAGTAATTTTATCTGTAGAGTGGCCACTAATGTATAGTTGGCTTTAATGGCTTAAACTAAATATGTTCTCTTATATGTCGTCAGTCGCCGAAATTTTTTAGTTATGTGAAACTGGGTAAGACAGGTATTCAATGGTGTTTATAATATTAGAGTGATAAGCGAGCCAAAAGTCCACCTGATGGCAAGTTGAAACTGCAGCCTATGAACACCTACAACCAAAAAAAATTATACATTTTATATACAAATGTATCCTCAATGGTATGCTCTTCAATTTTTAACACATTCTTTTTCTACTTTTATTAATATCCGTAGTTTGTTATCCATTTATAATTAAATTCTTGCAAAATAAACAATTTGCTTCCCCGTCATAAGATCGTACTTAGTCAGATCATAAGTTTTGTCTAAAACTTTTTATAAAATTAGTGATACACTTTTTGATAATTATATAGAAATTATATATGAAATGAAGGGTAATTTAATTAAGAATACAATTTTATTTACATTACGAGGGCGGCACTGAAAATTTCGGGAATCAAGGAAGTGACACAACATTACTATTTAAAAATGTATTTATTGCTTTTCGAAGTATTCTCCGCGAAATTTGACACATTTTTCCATACGATGGAACCAATCATTGAAGCAACCATTCCATTCGGAAATTGGGGTCTCCAAAATGGCCGTTTCGTAGGCGTCCACAGCTTCTTCAGGTGATGAAAATCTCTGTCCACGCAATTTATTCTTTATTTTAGGGAAAGTATAGAAATCATTAGGGCTTAGGTCGGGGCTGTACGGCGGATGGTCTAATAATTCTATGTTTTCTTGCTCTAAAAAGTCTTTTGTTCTGTGTGCGGTGTGAGAACTCGCATTGTCGTGATGGAGGATGATGCGGCGGTTGTAGTTCTCTTTACGGAGTTCAGAAACGAGCTGTGGCAAAAAAATGCTAGCATACCATTCTGCATTAACCGTTCTTTGTCCCTCAAGAGGAATAGTCGTAACATGGCCGGTTTTGGAGACAAACGTGGCCACCATTTTTTTTGCAACACTCCGTGAACGAACAATTTTGTTGGCTTTAACTCATTTTCGAACACCCAAACTCGTGACTGGTTTTTTGTTTCGGGTTCGTACGCGTATATCCAGGATTCATCACCTGATACGATGTTGTATACAGCATTTGATGATCTTGCGTGGAATCTTTCGAGAGTTCTGACGCACCAAGTAACGCGAGCCGCTTTTTGCTCTTCACATAGCGAATACGGTATCCATCGGGAAAACAACTTTTTTACACCTAATTGTTCATCCAAGATTATTTGTATTTAACTCATGCCAATGTCTAAAGTTGCCTGAATTTCGCGGTATGTCACATGTCGATCTTCCTCAATCAGCTTACGCACAGCATCAACGTTTTCTTGGGTGACTGCAGTTTTTGGACGACCTTGACGGGGATCATCACTGAGCTTACCAGCGATAAATTGCGGTTTTGGATGGGGCTTCATCACTAAATGCAGAAATCATCCGGTCAACACACTGTTTTTGTGTTAAACCACTTCGAAAGTCATAATAAATCATCGCTCTTGAATTTCCTCGAGTCAATTCCATTTTCTCAACGACTAAACAAGTTTGACAAAACCTTGTGACAAGACCGAAAATCTTTTTTTAAATAAATTAATGGTATTCAATTTTAAAAAACCAAGGACTTTTCAATTGAAATGATTTTAATATGACAGGAACAGTGGAAATATTCCATTCCCGATACTTTTAGTGCAGCCTATGTATACAAAATGCCCTCTCCTATTTTGTATACATGCCCTTAATTGACGCGGCCAATCATCAATCGCAGCACGCGCCACACTCATATCTACGAGTATTTCTGCCGCTGCTTTAGCCAAAGATGCTCGGAGAGATTCCAAATTCTGATGAGGTTTAGCGCAGACTTTCTCCTCCAAAATATTGCCATATCTTATAATCCAGTGGGCTTAAATCTGGACTAGAAGAGGGCCAGTCTTCATGTCCGATAAAGTCAATTCCATGGGCGGTCAACCAATATGCGTGCTTCGTGCCCTATGAGCTGGTGCAGAGTCCTGTTGGAATATCCAATGTCTGTTTTCGAACATTGTTTGAGAAAGGTTCCACTATGTTTGTTAGGTATTTTGTTACACCTCGGCCGTAGTTTTTACACCTTTTTCACAGAAAAACACTTCAGTTAAGCCTGAATATGAGACTCCTAGCCAAACCATGAGTGACGAAGGATAATGTGCTCGTTGAACCCTCGGAATACGCGTGCTGGCTTCTTCACTGGTGTGGGCATACACCTTATCATTTTGTTTATTATAACTTTCTTCGATGTTAAAATTTTTTCATCCGAAAACAAAATTTCGCGGTATTATTTTCCCGCGTACCGCCGTAACAAAGCGCGGGATCTATTCAGCCTAATTTTTTTTAACGCTCGTTCAAAAATGTCCAGTCTTCTTACGATAAGCTCGTAGTCCTAGGTCTACATCGATCACTCTTTTGACCGTGGTTCTGCTTAGGCCCATATGAAGTGCTAAGGTTTTTTGTTTACGAACAGGATTTCGTTGAATTCGCGCCTTCACTGCTTTGATGATCGCGGGTGTCCTAACTGTACGAGGTCAGCCGGTCCTGTTATGATCTTCGAAGCTTGAATTTTCAGTGAATCGTTTAATATTGCGCTAAACAAACCGTAGGGTTATTTTAAATTTTTGTGGAATATTGAAAATCTCTTTTGGCGCGTAACCACAGCGGCGCAACGCGATAACCGCTACTCTATCTTCTTTCTTCGACCACTCCATATTCGAAAATGAATGTCTTTTTTATTTTCGGCAAGCGCAAACGTTATATTTTTAAAATTGGTGAAGTTCATCTAGCCAGTATTCAAAATTTTTAAATAATAAGGTTTTGACAGAATTTATGACCCGACTAAGTATTTCACCTCATTCCAAAGTAACGCAGCTCTGGTGGCAGATAATGTGAGCCCTTATTGACACAAAGCTTATAACCTACTTTCCAAAAGTTTCGCATTTCTTGAACTTCGTCTTCTCTCTGCACAAAGTATTGACGAACGGATTTTTGAATGACGGTAGCTGCGTAGTCCTCAGTCCATAGCCAAGACTTAGGATAGTAAGGACGTGGACTGAAATATTAATATGATGGTAAAATATTAATATGGTGAATAAAAAAAAATGACTTTCAATAAGTATTATGTAATAATCGATATTGAATAAAAATCATTCCATTCTATTCTATTCTATGATGATTTGTAAGTTCTTAATAAGTACGAAATATGTATTTGGCCGTGTAGTGGCGGCTTGTCAGAGTCCACTACCCCATATCATCCTGTGGGTGTCGTAAGAGGCATCGGAAGGAACTGAAACAGTTGGTGGGCAGCCGCATCTACCTCATGACAGCTCAAAATTGTAAAAAAACTGCGGTTGCAACCCGCTAGTCAAGCGTGGCAATTATGTGCCCCTATGAGGCAACTGTTTAAGGAGATGGTTTTTGTTTAGTAGCGGTCTAATAATAATAAATAGTAGAAATTCATATCAAATGTTCAACGATGTTATTTTGGCATTTTAAGTCGGCAAAGATATCGATTATATTAGAAGAAAATAATGATACGTGTGAGCTCCGATGCGCGACCGTAGTTTACATTGGTTTACTATTACTTAATGTATTCTCCAGTGGCGTAACAGTCCATACATTAATTTTTCTTAGAGGTACTAATACCCCCTATATATAATGTACTCTGTGGTATTCTGTGAGTTTTCTCATCTTATCTAATATGGTTTACTAAGTAAAATTTAAACTTAACAAATTAGTCGCATTTAGGCCATCTGGCGTCTATTTTACGTAACACTGTTACCTTGAGAGTTGTTCGATAAAGTGATCAATAGAATAAACCTTACAGTTATTAGCGCCACCTACTGGGGAATAGCTGAAATGTTTTCCTAATAAATATTCAGCATAGTTTTGCTATGTTTGGCTAGAGGGCGTCACACACACGCGAGGTCAAAGTTTTTGTATGCAAATTTTCCCTATGTCCGCTCTATAGTATACCTATATATTTAAATATCTTTGGTTTTAAATTTCATCTTATGCGTGACCAGTATCAGTGTTTGTCGTAAGTGCGCGCCTTTTAAAACTATGCTGAGCTTTGAAATACCATTTTTTTGTTGCTTCCCTGTCAAGGAGCATCACAAAGGACCCTGACGAAAATTAAAAGTACTTTTAAAATTTTCTAAATAAAGTACTTACTATAATTTTAACAGTTTTTTAACCCAAGGCATATTAAATATATGGATGTCAAATTCTTTGCGCTCTGGATGTCGTGGATTATTAGTCCATAAAATCTGTAAACAAAATTCATAATAATGTAATTCGTAAATGTTTTCAGAAATTATAATGTTACACATGCTATTATGTATTATATTTAAAGTCACCTGAGCTATATGATCAATTCCGTTGAAAAAGCATTTTTGTGTTTTGAAAGCGGCCCAAACACGAGCCTTACGAAGAGTTTCTTCTAAAGCTGGTACAAGGTGGACAAAAACTTCGTCGTTTAAATATTTACATTCAGTGTCTGTTGACAATCAATACTTTCAAATTTGAATATCAATTTAAATTGAATTTCAGCATTTTTACCACGTACTCGGCGTTGAAAGAAAACATCGTGAGGAAACCTGCATGTCCGAGAAATAAAAAATAAAAAAAATATTACGAAGACATGTGAAGTCCGTAATTCGTGCTACAAGCTCCAACTATACTACTAATATACTCTACCACGTAAAAAGAATGTGTGCTTGTTTGTCACCTTTATCCTATAAAAATATCGGAAGAGGGTGAATGTACTGGAGTACGAACAGAAAGATATTCGAAAGGTCTTACTCTTAATTAAAATCTTATCATACCATCAGATCATTACCATTTCCAACTATGCGAAAGTTCCCACGTAATAACTTCAGCTCTTCGTATTATTATGCCATCTCGTAATAAACGTTGAGCGAAAAGCTAGTTAATGATAAGGAATAAATAAGTGAAAAATTAGGATACGGCGATGTCTAATTGTGAACAGTTGTAGGCTAACGTTCAAAAGTTCAGTTTGTGACTTTAGAATTTAAAAGCACTTTTCTTATCATTTAGGTGTCTTTTTTCCCTCTTAATATATCTGATATTTGGACCTTTATTTTGTAATATTTATATTTCTTTTTAGAATTCACGCTACTTGAAGTATTGAGACGTTGTAGGGGTATGTGATATTTAAGTATATTTTGAGTACAGATTTGAGGCAGAAGGTATTTCAGACCGGCGACGACAGCAACGTCAAAGGCATGAATGAGACGGCTGGCAGTGCGATCGTCAATTAATCTGCCGAGCGTGACGATTAAGGCAAAACCTATATACAACTGGCGAGGCTCATGTCTGCCTGTGAATTTATGAGCCGGTAATGAAGAAGAAATATTATAGACTTACAAACAGCGGTTATTCCGTTTATCCACCCTAAAACAGCCACCCAAGGGTGGATTTGGAAAACAGTATTAACCTAATCATCATCATATAATTGTCTGTTCATTCTTCTATTAAAAATATTATTATTGGTAATTGTCTTTTGAAGATAATATACCTGCTTATAAGCCATTGAATAAAACTAATTTTACGGATTTTATCGCACTATATACTAATTTACGGATATTAAATGCTATTTATTACACTTTTTTCCCTTTAGGGCGCTTTATAAAACCAAAATAGTTACGGGTTGACTGAGGCGTCAAGCGTGGCAAGATTAAGACAACCAGTAAGACCAGTAGTAGACGGTTACGGGCCGAAGAATATGCAACATACGGGAGCAAGGGCGTAAAGAAAAAAAAACCTTTTTCTCGAAGTCAACCTTACCTGTACCACAGTCTAGTAGATTCTTACTAGACTGTACAGACCTGTATGTATCATAATGATGTACCCTGCTGTTTAACGGATGAAGTTCTGGCTGTCAACAAATGGCATACACATTTAAAAATATTTAACCTGAATTCCAAAGTCTGAAGATGGATAGTAGCATAAAGAGTTTGTTCGCTCTGTATTCATCACATCGACTGTACAGCGTGGACAAATTTGACTTATTCTTAAAAAGGCCTTCTTCAATTGTTGAATTTTTCATTCTTCGAAAATCAGCGGTGCGATTGTCTAACTCTGAAGGAAATGGTTGTTGGCATCGTTTTGAAGTTTGACTTGTGGTTAAGTGTATGTATGGTGTAAGGCAAGTTCTGTACCTTGTACGTATGTTTGTACCGTAAAAGTAAAACGGAACCCTTACAGAAACCACTTTGTTGTCCGCCAGTCAATATCCATCAGTCAAGACTTTTTTCAGGACCGGGATGAGGTATTATAAATTGCGACGAGGTAGTTGAAAATAATATCAAATACTAAGGTCTGTGGTTCCTCACCACTGAGAAAAATTAACTTATTAGTCAACACAATCAAGAGATAAGTCCAATTAAGTGACATGATACTTTGATACTTGCAAACTCACTAAAAAGTTTTAGGATACTTCCCGTTGATTTAAAATCATGAATTTGGCAAGAAGCTAGGTCTCATAGCACAAGTAAAGGAAAAAATCTGAAAACAGTTCGTAGTTATACTATCTAATTAATTTAAAAAATACAAAAATGCACGTCTCATGAGCTTTGATGCATGAGGCGTGCACTTTGCACGTGCGAGTATGAGGTTCATTTACTTTTGATGAAAATAATAATTACCAAAATAAATTGATTACATAAAGTATGAAATCGATATAAGCTGTATGGTACATTTGTTCTTCGTTTATCAAGGGATGAAAACTCAAATCAAATGGAAATTACTAGGTAGAAGGTACATTTATAAAAAAAAAAATATTTAGAAACTACGCGTACAAGGCTATTGAATATGAAATAGAGAAACAGTTGATGTAATTCTGAAGCTAATAAAGAAACCCGGTCTCAATACGTAATTTTTTTCGGGAGTTATCGTGACCACAAAACAAAGTACAAAGTTCGGCGTATAGACATCCGGACGTCCACGTAAAATTTTTTTCAAACCATTTCTATTCAAAGTAGCAATATAAAATGATTTTTTTGAAAATATAAGATGGTTTACGTAGAATGTTTTCTTGATATACAGCTACTAATATTATCGTATAAGCGCAATATGGTTATGATAGAGGCATTTTAAGATCACAAAATTGCTTGACCTGAAGGGTCGGAAGTAAAACACTACTTAAACGCTTCGCGTTATGAGGCGTGCAAAAATATTTAAGGTTTAAAGGGGTAACCCTCCCCTTGCACTTCTCCAATTCATGGTTTGTTTAATGCGCTTTTAAAAATATCATATTAAATTTAGTTTACAGAGTTATTTATTTAACGAAATTAGTCGCCTTGGCAGGGTATTAATGAAAGAGCGAGAGGGAGAATAAGTATCACTTCGCACCGTTTCCTATTCATTGAAAACGTTGAAACCAAAAAAGTACCGTGCTTTCTTTTGCGACACCAACGCCGTACACATCATTAATCCTTCGAGCTGTTTCTGCAGCACTGGTGCCACGGTAGAACTCGTACTCATAAATATACCGACATGTCATGTTTTCCATTGTGCGGCAATAAGCGACGCCGAAGAAAAAAATAATGAGGAAAAAACAAATGAATGACTGTTTTTTCCTCATTATTTTTTTTCTTTTCCTCATTATCAAAACTCAAATGTATCAGTTAAATTAATTTTTGAATTTGGAATTCTTAACCAAAGAGGAGATATTTCAGATCAAAGTGGGCAGTACGACAAAACGCGAATTTCATATGTAAGTATATAAAGTATATAATGTCATTGTCGTCAGTACGGATGTCGATTCTTTCCGAAAGAGGTCGATTTTTAAATCGATTCAAATCGTAAGCTGATGTATCGATTCACAAAAAATCGATTTCGAAAATATCTATATTTTTCTATGTATGCATTTATAATGTAAATATAATTCCATTTTATGAAAAACAAGAAAGATACCATAATAAATGATCTCTTATTGAAATTTGTTTTATTTTAACAGTACCAATTAGGGCAGATAAGAAATAAAATAGGTTAGGTTCAACTTATGTCAAAGAACCGAATTGATTGACCTCGACTCCACCTAGTACGAGTCTGTCCTACCCCTAGAGTGGTTTTAAAGAGCCGGAGGCGCGTAGGGGGAGCAGCCTCCGCCTGCTGTAATAAATCGAGCCGGAGCGGCTGAGGCTGGTCGCCGAAGGCGACCTACAAGCCGAAGCTGCGGAGGCGAGGAGGGATGCCTGCGATTTGTTACGCTAAGGCGTAGAGGCTGCTCTTCCCGCAGCGCCGGAGACGTAGCAGTCTCAAAATAGATACAGAAATCCTTCTGAATCAGCCCCCCTATACTTTATGATGAAGGGGATTTTTTCTCATAAAATGGATTTATATTTACATTATAAATGCAAACATGAAAAAAATATAGATATTTAAGAAATCGATTTTCTGGGAATCGATACATCAGTTTACAATTCGAATCTATTTAAAAAATCGATCTTTTTCGGAAAGAATTGGCATCCCTACTGACAATAACAATAAAAAATAGCGTCAGTTTTATTGTAGGATTAGACATAAACAATGCAAGAATAACTGATTTTCAATAACTTTTTTCTCAAAAATTACGCGCTTCCGCATGTTGTAACTTTGTTTGTGTGCTTATAATAGTGTAACTTTTCTGTAAAAACATGTATCAACCCCCAACTGGACGGGAGTCAATGGAAAGTCGTACCAATTTATGATTTACATACTTAAGAAAGGTGACATCGGTTTTTGTTCCTTCTTACTTTCTTCATATTCTTCAATTTTCTGGAATTTCCTGTTACTTTCTTCAACTATGTTATTCCAGTTAGCTCGTTGTCTCCTTTTAGGTAAGAGGGGAAAATCTAGTTCCGAACAAGGCAAACTATCGGGAAGTGTAAACGTGGCCAGATCATTTTCGAGTTCATTCACAAGTGATTTTGTTTCCTTAGATTTGCCTTTGCGATCCGTTGTTCTCGCAGTCATTTTTAGCATACAGTGAAATACAAACGTACGTCTTAGATGCTAGGAACTGCCAGTACTGACGTAAATAATATTATCTCTAATACGAATTTATATAATCAATCTTTTCTGAGCATCAGAGAACACAAGGAACACAACGTACATTTTAGATTTTGTCATTTAGACATTTAAATTGACGTCTTATTTTTTTAGTTTTACCATAGTTTAGTCAGTTTAGTGGCTTAAAAATCTATTTCATAAAATTATATGGTTATGTTGATTATACGATATGTAGGTACTATTTATATATATGTTATACAAAATTGAAGTGTTTGTCTGTAGTATCGAAATGACTGCCTCATATTGAGCAAAGTGGATTATTTGCATGCTATTATGACATTAATAACCATTTTTAAATGTTTTTGTCTGTCCGGGCTAATCTTCGGAATGGCCGATTGTAATGTAACTTCACGAACAGATAGAGAGCAATGCCAGGAGTGATCTAGGCTATATTTTATCCGAAAAACTTAAAGATTTATTTGAAACAACGAAAAATTCTTAAATAAATATTTTAAGAATTCGAAATTCTAATCATCACAGACTAAATAGTGCGCAGAGGTTCCATCGTGAGCGTAGGGGATTGATTACCCGTCGTCATAGGGGGATGCGTATTGATAAATCTTCTTGAAAATACTTGTATATATCCAACAGTAGATCAGAAAACTGATTGGGTAAAGTAATGTTAAAGATATTATGTAACATTGATAGATCTTACCCAGGCGTAGTTCGTACGTACTAAATAAAATGTAACGAGACCATTTTTCTATAAATATAAACAGAATATAGCTATGAATCAGTGGAGTAGCGTGCCTTAGAGGGGTCCTGTATCAATATTTGTCGGGGGGTCCAAATGAAGGGTAAAGATTTTTCACAAAAGGAACTAAAACTCTCGCATTGAATTATAATAATAATAATAAATATTTATTTCATTTCCAATTACACATGTTTACACACATGAACAAATATGATTACGATTAAATAAAGTAACAATAAGTCTAACAAAAATAACATGCTATGATAAAATTAAAACTATGTGTAGCTTAATAATGTAGAACCTACAAAAGAAAAATAATAAAGTCATGTTTATAATAATATATAAAAATAACCTGCCTGAACTAGGTTGAGTACCTGTGTTTCAGACATCACTTACACAATGGGTTTAATAATGTAGGACACTAGATATTTAAATAATTAAACTATATTATATAATAAATAAAATAACTAAAAAATAATTAATTATAACTACAATTAATACAAACTATTTTAGAATTTCTAACAACTTCTCTGTGTCTTCGTAATTTAATTTATTTAGAAATTCCCTTACACTTATATTACAATTCTTATAACTTAGACTATATACCTTTAGTGACTTGTTGAGCTTGTTATATAGAAAGGGTCCTAAAAATATGTAAAATTTGTTCACATATGCGTGTTTGGTTTGAGGGTTTACAAACTAAGTCCATTCTTCTCCTGTCTATGGATTTTAAGTTAAATGGAAGTTCGGTATGGTGTTTTAATATGATGTTCAGGATAAACAACTGACGGACAGTTAGTACACTACATGCCAAAATAATTATATATTGATTATAAGTTATTACTTACCATTAATACTCCTAGGAACTAAGCTAGCCAAACAATTCAAACCAACATCCAGTCCCATAGAAGTCCTTAGAAATTTTGCTTACATACGTCCGGGGCCCCTGTAGCCCGGGGCCCCGTATCATTGATACGGTTAATACGGCGGTAGCTACGCCCCTGCTATGAATATCATTGGTAGATATATGTAGCAAGGAGATTTTAAAAATTAGAGTAATTTTCGAATACGAGTTCCGACAACAGCTCGTTATATCATTGCAGCTCTATGAGAGAACATGTCTAACCAACACACTGTGCTTCTATAGTGGTAACTTCGACTTGAAAAATGAATCATGAGAAAGACCAGACATCAAGATAAATAACGATTAATTTGAAGTCTTTATTCTTAGAACTTTTATATTATACTCACTACTACACCGACTAACCTCAGCGTAGAAGAATCCATCATCACAACATTTCGTCCTGTGGGTGCCATAAGAAGTGATTATAGGAAATGCCGTAAAGATCTCATGGTCACCGGTAGAAGGCAGTATTATACTTTTGTATATACCTGACGGTTCGACAAAAAATGAGATTGACTTCATTATGACGACCAGACGACAACTGTTCAGTGATGTCTCAATGATCGCGAGGGTGAAAACCGGCAGCGATCACCGAATGGTTAGAGGCACACTGAACCTAAACGTTAAGTTGGAGAGGTCTCGTCTAATGAAGTCAACGCTCCGTCCCCCTCGTGCTCTAATCCAAAGTTCCGAAACCTTTCAGCTCGAGTTACAAAACCGTTTTCAGTGCCTAGAAGACTGCAATGAAGTGGACGATTTGAATGACAAGCTCGTGGAAACTGTCCATGCGGTCGGAGCTAAGTTCTGCAAGACCCGCCGCAGAAGAACACAAAAACTCTCCGATCACACTCTTAATCTCATGGCTGTTAGACGGGAGATGAAGCTACATTCTTCAACAGATTTGACAGCATACAGGCAACTGAACAGACAGATCTCCAAATGCATGCGGCGGGACTTACGCAACTTCAATACAGCTCGTATTGAAGAAGCGATCGAGCGGAACCAAGGCTCCAAAGTCTTTGCCAGAGATCTGTCTGCCAGAAAGCGCCAACTGTCAAAGCTGAAGACAGAATGTGGCAGCATCGTTTCCGGGGCACCTGAGATTTTGAGTGAGATTGAGAGGTTCTATGGGCAGCTGTACACGTCATCGTTGGAGCCGCACGCAAGTGTGAGTAATGATCCAAGAGCGAGTCTTATCCGACATTATCCCGATGATATCCCGGACGTCAGTCTGAGCGAGATTAGAATGGCTCTCCAGCACCTTAAAAACGGCAAGGCCCCAGGCGAGGATGGAATTACAGCGGAGCTTCTGAAAGGTGGTGGAAAACCGGTACTTGAAGTCCTTCAGAAGCTCTTTAATTCCGTCCTCCATGGTGGCATTACACCGGAGGCGTGGAGCAGAAGTGCGGTGGTCTTGTTCTTCAAGAAAGGCGACAACGCTCTCTTGAAGAACTACAGACTGATTTCCCTTCTGTGCCGCGTCTACGTGCTGTTTTCGAGAGTCATTACGAATCATCTCGCGCGCAGACTTGACGACTTCCAGCCTCCCGAACAAGCCGGTTTCCGAAAAGGCTTTAGCACCATAGACCACATACATACCCTTCGGCAAATTGTACAGATGTCTGAGGAGTACAATTTGCCACTATGTCTGGCGTATGTGGACTATGAGAAAGCCTTTGATTCCGTCGAAATTTGGGCGGTGCTGCAGTCCCTTCAGCGATGCCAAGTTGACTGTCGGTATATCGAAGTGTTGAAGTGCTTGTACAGTAGGGCTACGATAGCTATCCGAGTACAGAACCAGAGTACGAAACCTATCCAATTGCAGAGAGGTGTAAGACAGGGTGACGTCATATCCCCGAAACTCTTTACCGCTGCATTGGAAGATGTTTTCAAGCTTCTGGACTGGAAAGGATACGGTATCAACATCAATGGCGAGTACATCACTCACCTTCGATTTGCCGACGATATAGTCCTTATGGCAGAATCGCTGGAGGACCTAAGCACTATGCTCAATGACCTCAATAGTGTTTCCCAACGGATAGGTCTTAAGATGAACATGGACAAAACAAAGATCATGTTTAATGTCCATGTCACACCTATGCCGGTAGTTGTTGGGAACACTAAGCTCGAAGTTGTTGACGAGTATGTTTACCTGGGACAAATAGTCCGACTAGGTAAGTCCAACTACGACCGAGAGGTCAATCGACGGATTCAACTCGGTTGGGCAGCGTTCGGGAAATTACGGCACATCTTCTCGTCAGGTATACCTCAAAACTTGAAAACGAGACTGTACACCCAGTGCGTGTTGCCAGTGATGACATTCGGAACTGAGACGTGGTCCTTCACTGCTGGCCGGATGAGGAAGCTCAAGGTCGCTCAGCGAGCTATGGAGAGGGCTATGCTCGGAATTTCTCTGCGTGATAAACTTAGGAATGAGGATATCCGCAGTAGAACTAGAGTGACCGACATAGCCCAACGGATTAGTAAGCTGAAGTGGCAATGGGCCGGCCATATAGCTCAAAGAACCGACAACCGATGGGGAAGAAAGGTTCTCGAGTGGCAGCCTCGTACCGGCAGGCGAAGTGTAGGGCGTCCCCCCACTAGATGGAGTGACGACCTGGTAAGATATGCAGGAAGTCGATGGATGCAGGTGGCTCAGGACCGTGCTTTGTGGCATTCTTTGGGGGAGGCCTATGTTCAGCAGTGGACTTGTGAAGGGCTGTAATGATGATGATGATGATGATGATATACCTGATGTAAAACATAGATAGGCTACAACAAGAAGCAACATCGAAGGAACGAGGCATTTTGTATTGCGTATACACTTACCAAGCGTGATATACTGACTGCCTCGTTGGTCTAGTGGTTGTAGTAGTGCGACTGCTAATCATGAGGTCCTGAGTTGGAAACCCGGGTCGGGCAAAAAAATCAGTTATTGAGCTTCTCCATGAAGAAATTCTCAGTAGCTGCCCGAAGCAGGAAGCTGGCGGTGCCTCACCCCCGTGCCTCGGAAAGCACGTAAAGCCGTTGGTCCTGCGCCTGATCTCTCTCCGGTCGTGTCAGTTTACCGTGCCATCGGACTATAAGAGTAAGGTAATAGAGAGTGCACCTGTGCTTGAGCATTCACTTGGGCACTATAATCCTGTCCTGCGGAGATGGCTAGTTTCCGTTGAGATTGGCCGCCGTGACCGAAATACGGTCTGGAGGACATTATTATTATTACCAAGCGTGGCTATTAACAGCAATCCAATTCCTACATTGGTACAGTGCAATACACCAGCCTTACTGGACGTCAGACGAAAAAGC